CCTATAATCCCTCTTCCACACTTTGATAACCACTGACATAAAAACATAAAGGAGGAAATCAATGGGTGGCTGAGATGTAAGTGAAAGTTAGTCTAAGTGAAACGGACGAAGCTGGCCTTGGCAAAGAGCAAGCAGAGAACTGTCTATGAAACGAACAGATACAGGAGGAAGCGGCAGTGTCCATAACGGAGCAGAGCTGTCAGGGAGTAAGTGGTGTTATGAGCTGAAGAAGGGCCAGCCTTGTAAGAAACGGCCGGTAGACGGAGCGCCTGTGACAACTAGTTGTAGTAGTTTGCGGGAAAGGCAGGAAAAGGAGGACCAAAGTAGAAGAGGCTGTAAGGCATTCTGGAGGTGGTTCAAAAAAAAAATGAGACCATGAGAAAGACTGATGCACATTTCTGATCAAAGAAGAGTGAGAGGGTGCGGAGCTGGGAGCGGAGACAGGGCTCCCGGCTGGAGGCGGCAAGTTAGCGGACGAGGAAGAGGTACCAAACGAATGACTAGAGTTTCCAGGGGCAGTGGAAGCGGAGGGGCATCAGGAGCCGAGAAGAGACCCGATCTCGGGGTAGGGGTGAAGGACAAGCACCTCGCAGACGCTGGGATAGCGATGGGGAGACTGGAGGTGTTACTCGTGACTGTCCAGAGGCAGCCCTCCCGCACCCAGCCCGGTACTCACAGAGCTCAGAGTACCGATGGCAGCCCCGTCCCAACTGCTGCAGATAGCGCTGCAGCACGTCCGTCAGGAGGTGGCAGGCGCTGAGTTGCACCGAGTCCCAGCCCAGCGCCTGGCAGATCTGCGCCACCGAGACCCTCAACAACGACCTGGAGTAACTCTCGCACATCCCGCTCCGTGGACTCCACCGCAGCACTTGCTGCCACTTCTCTCCACCCCCACCGCCTAGCCTTAGCAGAGCCCCCGATTCATCCTCTAGGGCCACTGCGGCGGGGAAATCGTCCCCCCGGACCCCTGGCGACCACCTCAAAGCCTCAGCAACACGGAGCGCGCCAGCCTGAGAGCCGCCATTTTGGGCTCGCTCCGCCTCCCGCTGGACGGCCGCCGGGGCGAGGCAGCACTAGCCGAATGCTGAGCGCTCCGATGAGGAAGCTCCGCCCCGTTGGGGGCAGAGCGACGGTGTCGGTATCGACTCTCGCGCCTGGAAGGACGCAGGAAAAGGCTGCCCGGAGTGCAGGTGGAGGATGCGGGCGAGGAGGCAGGTGCTTGGGGCCTTCCGGGGTGGGGGTGGGGTCACTTGGAGAGGAAGGGCAAGTGGACCGTCAGTGATTTAGGGGCAAAAGAAGGAACCAGGATGTGAAATTAAAATGCGGGTGTTAGAAGCTGGGAACTCTAAAAGGTTGGGAGCACAGGAGGGGGATTTGTGGCTTGGGAACCTAACTGCTCCCCAAACGCGGATCTGATCCGGTCTTATCTTTGCTCAAAGAAAAAAGGAAAGAAAATTGAGCTGCCTCCCATTGTATAGATCAAGTTCAAGCTGTTCAGCTTTACGACAGGACGGGGACTAGGGTGAGACAAGTGAAGCACTGGCCTCGGTGCAGAATTTACGGGGCATCAGA